ATGCTCAAGACTACGACAAAGTCAAAGCAGAAATCCTGCGGCAGCTGGATATTACATTGGAGCGACACTGCCAGGCCTTCTGGAAGGAAAAGTTGGGAGAAGCGAAGACCCCTCACATCCTGTGGCAACACCTGGCGGACGAACTAAACAAATGGCTTAGACCAGAATCAGCCTCAAAGGAGGAGATATGTGACCAGATCCTACTGGAACAATTCATATCAGACCTAGACGAAGATACACAGAGGTGGGTTAGGTGTCATTGTCCCCCCTCATCAAGGGAAGCCCTGCGGTTAGCAGAGCAATTTGATATGGCCCAGGATGACCGCCACAAGATCAGTGGGACCAAAGGAAAAATCTCTATCATTAGACAAGGCAAGGAAAGTAGGGGAAGCAGAAAGAGCAGCCCCACAAACCTAACATACTTCCTATGTGGGCGGAAGGGGCATTTCACCAAGAACTGCCTGCAGGGACTTCGAGCCAGGCCGGTCAAGGGCACAGGACCTCCCGATGATCAGAGGGGCCTAGAAGAACCAACAGAAGCAGAGGCGATGGATTGTGGGGTCGGAGGCCAGGGAATGGAAGGAATCCTGCCCTTACCAGAAATTCGGGTGTGGGTCGGTGGGCACTCCGTCATGGCGGTGGTGGACACCAGCTGTGCCCAGTCCCTTGTGTGCCCCTCCCTGGTGGAATGGCAACAGGCCCAACAATGCCCCGGGGTACACATGCTCTGTCTTCATAAGCAGAAATCATATGTCGAAAGACGGATGCTGGATGTACAAGTAAGGGGCACCAGACAACAGATGCCGGTGGGCCTAGATGAGGGTATTCTGTATCCCATGATCCTAGGCCGGGACTGGCCAGAGATATATGAGTTAATAGCGGCGCTTCGGCCATCCAAGGATCCAAGGGATGGGCTCGCGGGAACTGAGTCCGAAGAGACAAACGAGATGGAAATGGAGGCTCTTACCAACACCAGCCATTTCCGAGAGGCGCAGGAAAGTGACCAAGAGCTGCGGCCATTCCAGGAGATAGAAGTAGAGCGACTCAACAGACTGGTAAGGACCCCCGAACGGGAAAGGCCAATTCCCAGGGTAGAACTGAGAAGAGGGTTATTGTATAGAATAAAAACAGGCAGAGCCAAGGGAGAGGAAGTGGCCCAGCTAGTCATACCCCAGTCCTACCGAGAACCGCTCCTAAGGCTAGCCGACAACAATCCACTAGGGGGCCACCTGGGGAAACACAAAACAGAGGCCCGCCTGGCGCGATGGTGTTTCTGGCCTCACATGTATGAGGACATTGAGAACTACTGTAAAACTTGTCAGGCCTGTCAAAGGGTAAGCACATACAAACCCCCCAAGGTGCCCTTACAATCCATGCCGGTGATACGGGAACCATTTGCGTGGGTGGCATTAGATGTGGTTGGTCTGCTGCCCCAGAGTGCAGGGGGACACCAGTTTGTGCTGGTGTTGATTGATTATGCGACGCATTTCCCAGAGGCTATCCCCTTGAGAACAGTCATGGGGCCCAAGGTAGCTGAGGAACTAATGAAATGGATAGCTAGATTCGGGATCCCAAAGGAGATCATAACCGATCAGGGAACCAATTTTATGTCATCAGTGATGAGCACCTTGTGCAAGGTGCTGCAGGTGCACTTAAAAACCACGGTGTACCATCCCCAGACCAATGGCCTGTTTGAACGTTTTAATGGAACTTTGAAGGGAATGCTGCGGCGGTGCACTCAGGCCGAACCAAGAAAATGGAACTTGATGGTTCCCTCCTTATTATTCGCCATCAGGGATGCGCCCCAGGCCTCGTTAGGATACTCACCGTTCGAGTTGACATTCGGACACCGGCCTCGGAGCCTACTGGATGTAGTGAAGGAGGGGTGGGAGGCCGAACCGGGCCTGGGAAGGGGGGTCCCTGTACATGTACAGGAGCTAAGGGAATGACTACGGGCAGTGACTGAAATGGCCCAGGCTAATTTACAGCGGGCTCAGGATAAGCAGAGGAGAGGCATGACAGCCAGGCCAGGCCGAGAGAGTTAAGAGTGGGCCAAAAAGTGTTGGTTTTATTGCCCACGTCGAACAGTAAATTTGAGGCAAGTTGGCAAGGACCTTTTACTATCACTAAGAGGGCAGGCCCTGTGGACTATGAGATATTTCGGCCAGGGGCTAAAAAAGAGCGACAGATATACCATATTAACTTCTTAAAGGAATGGCATGAACCAGAGGGCCTGCTAGTCTCACATGACCCCGAGACGGTGGGATCTGGGGCACCCACGAGTAATGATAAAGAAAACGACAAGCCTCGGGAGCAAATGTCTGTGGGGAAACAGTTGCAAGGCAAACAGCTCTCCCAGTTGCAGGCGTTAATAAGAGAGTTTAAGGATGTCTTCACCAAGCAGCTCGGACAGGCAAGGGGAGTTGAACATAGGTTTATCACTCAGGAAGGACAGATAGCCAGGGAGAGATGGTGCCGGATCCTTTATCATAGACTCTGGCCCATAAAAGAGGAACTTGAAAAGATGCTAGAGCAGGGGATTATTGCACCTTCTCGCAATCCATGGCATAGTCCCCTGGTAGCAGTGGAAAAACCGGATGGGAGCTTAAGACTATGCGTGGATTTCAGGAAGTTGAATGCCATGTCCCAGTTCTATGCGTTCCCAATGCCTCAGGTCAATGAGCTGGTAGAGCGCATAGGACAGGCAAAGTTTATTTCTACCCTTGACCTGTCTAAGGGCTATTGGCAAATCCCATTAAGAAAAGAGGATCAACCCAAAACAGCATTTGGTACACCATGGGGTTTGTTCGAATTTAAGAGGATGCCTTTCGGCCTGAATGGTGCTGCAGCCACTTTTTAAAGGTTAATGGACTGGGTCCTGACACCCCATCAGAGCTATGCCGCAGCCTACATTGACAATATTGTCATATATACAGAGACCTGGGAGCAGCACTTAAAAGCTCTCTGGGCCATTCTACGAGAATTAAGGCAGGTGGGTTTGACTGCTAACCCAAAGAAGTGTGCAATAGGGAAAAAGGAAACCAAGTATCTGGGGTTCTTAATTGGACAAGGCC